GACGACTTCGTCTTCCAGTCGAATCGGATGTTCCTCACTGGAGCATCTCTAGAATGGACCGTTCCCACCATGCGACTTCCTTTTATACAGGATGGTGGTTGGTGATTATTAGTGATTATAGTGATTTCCTGGTGTTGACGACTTTTTTCCGAAAATTCTTATCAAATATTCTGATATTTCGCATTAGAACGGAATCTATCTCTGCGCCTAAGGCCCACACTTGGAGGATGGAAGCACTGGCTCGATAGCGATACTCGATCGGCAGGCCATCGCGAGTCACTGTAAAGACCAGATATGCATTCAATCACCTCCAAGCGAAGTTTAATGATGTCGAATGCATGGCGCATCCCTCAGCGATTGATGAACGCCGAGAGCTTTATACTTTATCCTTGTTTTTATGTAATTAAAGCCCCAGCATCTGTACTATGTGTGATTTGTTGTTAGTATTGTGAAAATTCTAAAAATAATGCTAAATGAATTATGTATTTAGCATCGATGTATTTGGTTGCATCACACTAACGCACAGACACAAAAACACACAAACATACACACACACACACACGCACGCATGCACGCTTACATACACGCATACACGCATATATATACACATACATGTATGCACATGTGCACATACATTCACAGACATCCTGTACACACATGCATACGCACGCGCACACACACAAACAGGTACATAAACATGCAGAAATACATGCACTCATTCACATACGCCCAAATGAACATATACGCGCAAGCACAGACATACATATGCACGTACACATACAATTGCAGATACGCATGCACATACACATAGTCACATACGCATACACATACACGTGCACATATACACAAACAGACACACACGCAGAGATGCAAATATACACTCGCAGTGTATCCCAATTCCACTACGAGATTATGAGCATCCTATACTCGGCTCCTTTCCTCTCTAATTTCGCCCCCGTCAATAGTCAGGTTTCAGTTCTAAAGCATAGTATAGTATAGACAGTGCTGCTCACATTACATGTTACGTGGTGACTTTTTATTAGCTCTGGAGGTGAATTATATACAATCCTGAAGATTTCGATGCTGTAGGAAATTTATCCTACGTAAGATTTTCATGTAAGTAGAAGAATGTTTTGGATAAAGTCAAACAAATGAGAAGATGGAAACTTATTTCATATTTGCTTCTACACACGTATATTCTTTTATTTAAATAGAGAAGGCCGTTACTGTCAAATTGAATCTTAACCACAATGTGATGTTTAAGATTCACTTTAACATCAACGAATGATCGCCGTTTTATCACGCCTCAATTTTCAGCTTTTCTTATAAACTCCCCTAGTTAAATACAAATTGAAGGAAGCATAAAGTTTTCGAAGTTGATCAGTTTCTGAGGAATACGCCATGCATTCGACTTCATTACTCGTCGTTGGAGGTGATTGTATGCATTTCTGACCTTTAACGCTTAGAATGGCCAGCAATGGCCTGCCGATGTTTCGGTCTGGTATCAATTTGCCTATGGAGGGCTTAGTGAGCTTTGCTCACAAGGATCGACCCCATATGTGTACTGCAGGACGCTTCTGATCATTGCGCCACACGCGCACTTAATACAAATCAGCCCCAATAATCGTTCGTTAGTTTTCCTTTTATTTCATGCGAAGAAAACTGTTCTTGCTCTTCTTCTATTTCTTGTTCTAGATAGTGATATACTATCTTTATTACTGACCTTGCATATCTACTATCGCTTTTCAGTTACACTGATAACTGTAAAGAAAATTTCTTGAAGATTAATAAACAGTCGATATATTGATTGCAGGTCGCCTTTCAGGGTGAAAGTGGTGCAGGTGGATGCCCTATTAGCTGTTGGTTGAAAGGGTAGCGAAAAAATAAAAACACTCGAAAAACACGCTCCTGATTCCATTGAAGACGAATTCGGCTTGTTATATAGCCCTACATCGTAAGGTCGACTTATCGCAAGAACCTCCACCAAATTTTTGCTGTCACGGAGGATTCCTTGCTGCTAAGCATGCTAAGCAGCAAACCTCTTGCCAATTGGTATAGGCACTACCGGCGATTATATTTATGGAAGACCTGGAAACGAGTAGGCATGGCTTCATCAAAATTGCAAAAAAACCACCCTCGAATGTCACTCAGTATGTCAACGAGTCGAAAAAGAGAGTACCCAATCTTTGCTCGAACCCACATAGGAATCGGACTACGTATGAGAAGGGACTGAACTGAAGAGACGTTCGAATCCAACTTCCATGAAAAGACGGGTAGTAGTAGATTACCTAAATATTTAAAAACTAACAAATACAGAAATGTCAAAAAGTTTTGAAAAATTCCACCAGCTTTTTTAATGGTCTCTGTTTAAAACGTAACGTGATGAGGGTATGCAAAAAAGAGATACGCTAAATGAGCACTCTTACATGAAGAGCTCTAAATGGATAGTGAATGACGATGTATAGATTCTGAAAAGTTCAGTTGACATCCGCTTGTCTATTTACTAGTTATTTAGAAATTTAAGTCTTATAATTACAATCGAGAGCCCTGCATATAATTCTTCCCATATAGAGACACCGCAGTAGGTCTTATTCCAAAAAATTGAGTGTTCTGATACTTTTGAGATTCTTGAAATCTTCCACACCATAAAGAATTCTCGGGACTTAGATAAGAGTTGTAAGGAGCGTTTTGTGCTATAACTTTAGCGTTATAGGTATTCTCTTATTTAATTATTTTAAGAAGACCGGGATGGGATTTCGTGAGAATGGCGTAACTTCCCTTATCACAACACCGCTCAACGTCAGTGATCTTTTTTAAAATGTCCTTAACCTATATTGAAGATAAGACTTGTTTTTATATTAACCACGAATGTTCAACAATGGAAAGCAATTACTGGAAAATAAATATCACGAAACTATGAAAAATGGTTAAATTTTCATTTTCAACATTGCCACAAGTACGAAACGATCTGTGGTCAGTGTGAAATATCAAAGCTTCGATATATATATATATATATATATATATATACAAAACCTTAATGATACTAAGATATTTGCAAAACTCCGGACCACAGTTGTCTGCGGTGGGGAACGAACGCGTCGTTACCCTTTTCAGGGGCAAACACGCCCACCACGGCGCCATGCTGGTCCTTTCTGTCTCTCAGCTAGTTCCATTGATCACTGCCATCGGCAATCACTCGTATATATTTAAATAATATATATATACACACATGTACATATGCTTATTTGGATACCTGGATGGCTCGCCTTCACTGGCTGTGCGGGTCCCTATTGATTTTCTGGAAGCACTGAATATCCGGTATAGCAATCGGGGTGCGATCATCTTAGTCTCATAATTGGAGGAGTTCTTGGGGATATTGCGAATGCTTTCCATAACTTCTGCAGCCTCGGCTGTTACCGTTGTTCTGTTCTTCTTGATATGTTTTGTATATCGCACTTCTTGACTACCTTGCTGGTTTCCACGAGAGTTAGTCATCACGGACGGCTTTTACAATTCCTCGTCAGTTCAATAGCTCTATTGCTTTTAGAGGCAGGCTTGCCATCGTATCACTCGACCTCTCGGCCTTCGCACCACTAACGTGAACAGGTTCTGTAAACCGGCAGTGCTCTTTACTAACGACATCTTTCTTAGTGCCTGCTGGATAAATTCAAACTAAGGCAGTTCTTCGCCTTCGTTTCTTGAACCTTGCTTTTTCTTCTTTTTCTCGTTTTCGGGGAAAAAGGATCCTTATCTAAAAGAGACGACGGTCTGATCCTGTGAAGAATTTTTGATAAACAGGACATTAGTTAGATAAAGCGTTGCATTTGTTATTAAATAGTCTATTTCATTAATGCACTCTTCGTTCAACGAATTTTTCTCATATGAGGGTTCAAGAGCAGGTTAGTCGCAAGGAAATGTGGTGCAGCCTCAGGTGGCAGATAAGGGTTGATTGTAGGCTATAAGACACATTTGCAGAAAATCTGCGCAAGACCACCGGATTTAGCCACAGGTCCTCGAGGGAAACAAGTCAGACCTACCAAGCCACAAGATCAGTGGAGTGGTAGCTAGACTCGATGAAGTAAAGTCTTTTCGTAATCCTTCAGCATCAGTCCATAAGATCGGCTAACAGTTTTTCGAAGATTCTGCGAAACCTTATATATAGATCACCTTCACATGAGGAATCTTCAAGCGGTTAGTCTCGAGGATACGTTGAGCGTCCACAGGTGGCGGATAAAGGGAAAATCGCGGACCTAAGCGACTTTTGCTCCCCTGAGACGCAGGTGGAAACAGGATGGAGTCCCTATTTCTGCTGTGCTGATTTGGCACATACTTTCTGTATTTACAAGGTATATTCATGAATGCGTGTGTGGATTCATTTTCGCTTATGCGGATTGTATTCTACGAGTCAATTAGGCCAAAAGCCAGCAACCAAGTGACTGGGAAGTATATGGGAGCCGGTAAGGAGCCACCTCCAACAAATAAGCTCCAAGTCCACTCTGGGAAAGCCTAGTAAGCCACCTATGACTATATCAAGCTCCTACATTTACAGCCTAGCAAGCTGTACGTGGATATCAAAAAGCTAAAACAATAAAGAAACGGGCGTCGTTCCCCTGACCCCGAAACAGTCCCAAATTCGGCAGCGTTGGAGTAGCACGAGTACGGAGAGGCTGCTGAGATCTCAGAGCCATTCTAAGCCGCCCAAATCACAAGAAATTAAGGTGACGATGTGAAGCTACAATGCACGCACACTTGCATCCGAGTACTCGATAGAAGGCTTGATCATGCACGCGAGAAAGATAGGGTACGACGCCATCGGCCTGGCCGTGACGAGACGGCGCCACCCATTTCACGCCGTCTGTGATACAGCAAGAACTGTTCCTCAGAACATGCGACAGTAGAGGAGTCGGCGGCGTCATCGTTCTCGTCAACATGAGTTTGGCCATGAACATCGATTAATTCGAACAACTTACAACCCGAATCCGACTTTTACTATTAGAAAGATGTGGATCAATACGGTCTTAAAATGCCATGGCGTTAACGCAGCAGCATCAAACTATGACGAAGAAGACGTCGGAGCATTCTATATGGGCTCAGAGAAGTTCTACAGAGAAGACCATACGTTCTTCAAGGCCATCATTGAAGATTTTGACGTCAAGATTGGGCCTAGAAAAAAGTCTGAAGGGCGTCACATTGTGGCCCACGGATTAGGATTAGAGTGGAACGAACAGCGTGAGCGACTTTCTGAATTCATCATGACGAACAACAATAACGAAATAGACCACATAATAGTAAACCGAAAATTTTGCCTAACCGATGTGGCTGTTCTCCCAAAATTCTACACGGAATCAGACCACCGTCTCCTACAGGCAACATTCCATTTTTTGCGGAAAGGAGAAAAAGCCGCTAAATACAAAGAACGAAATCCCAAAACCACCGCAAACTGCGATTTATTCACTTCATTACCCACTTTTGGGAAGATGGCGTTCCCAAAAACATTGACGAGAAATACGAAAGGCTCGTTCAATATTTTGATGTTAGCGCTAGTTCAGAGTTCTGAGAGTTCAAAAGCTACCAAGAGACGTGTCTCCAGAAACACTCGAGCTGATACGCCAGCGTGGAATCGCACGAGCTGCAGGCAACCGCGAACTAACGTCCGAAATTGCAAAACAATGCAGACAGGTTATAAAACAAGATTTTAAAGATAGAAAAGGGGATGTTATGGTCAAAACTGCAGAAGCTGAGAAAAGCATTCTCAAAGCCCACCAAAGCTTCGCCAATTCCAGAAAAGCAATAGAGAAAATCATTCACGAATACTACTCAGATCGTTTAACGTTTTGTTTTCTGCCTTCTATAATTTTCATGGCAGGTTACTAAGCGAAATACAACCACAACGTTGCTGAGATATTTGCAAAACTCTGGACCGCAGGTGTCTATGGTGGGGAACGAACGCGCTATTGTCCTTTCCGGGGAGTAACGCGTTCACCACCACACCATGCGGGTCCTTCGTTTCGTTACTACTCAGATCGCTTCGATATCCATCTCCACCTTCCGTCATATGAAATAAAGGAGGATGGACATGTCGTACCACTGGTTCTCCTTTCCGAAATCCGATATGATATTTCGTCGGTAAAAAATGGAACAGCAGCAGATCCGGGCAGGATAAGAACAGAACACATGAAAAATATTTCGCCAGTCGTAAACACACTAGATCGGCTCCTTGCACGTTACCTGTCTGAAAGCAAGGTCACAACTCGGTGGAAGACCAGCAAGACCATGCTTTTGTTCAAGAAAGGTGACCTCCTGCTTGCTTTCTGTCTTTTACAAACTTTTCACTCAAGTCATCCCAAACAGGATTGATAGAACAGATGAAGGACAGCCACGTGAGCAAAAAGGGCTTCGGAAAGGACTTAATACGGTGGACCACATCCACACGTTAACAAGACCTACTGATGTATCCCCAAAGTACAGAAGACCGCTCTATCTTCCTTTCAGCTATTTAAAGAAGGCCTTTGACTCAGCTGAGATAGAAACAATCATGGAAGTCTTTGGTAGTCAGGGAGTCCCTACTCAGTACATGAAGAATCTTCGTGAGTCATACAAAAATTTTACAATCAACATATCACCATTCTGCAACTATATTAACATTGACGTCAAAACAGGAGTTAGACAAGGCGATACCACCTCTCCAAGGTTATTTACTGCTACACTCTAGAAGGTCGTGCGAACATTGGAATGGGATAATATGGCAGTGAAAATCAATGGTCGACAATTACACCATCTTCGCTTTGCTGATGATATCGTCCTTGTAATACCAAACATTGAGCAAGCGAAACGTATGCTTGAAGACTTTGATAAAACAAAAACGATGTTTATGAGGAACAGATTTGTTTCCCAAGTTCCATTGACGCTCATCGGAACGAATATCTCCGAATGCTCCAGTTATATCTTGGTCGGGAAATCAATATGATGAACGAGCTAGCTTCAGAGCTGAGCGGAAGGAAACGAGCGACTTGGAGAGCTTTGAAGAGCATCGAAGATGTAGTGAAGAGAGCAAAGAACACCCGATTCCGTTCCCACCTTTTCGACTCAACAGTGCTTCTTGTGGTAACGTTTGCGTTAGAAACCTGGTCGCTACTACACAGGATCAAAAACCACTCAACGTTATTGAACGCGCGGTCGAATGAACGATGCCTTGTCTTAGGAGTATCCCTTGCCACATAAGTAAGGGAAGAGATCCGCAGCTCCGATCTGCGTCAACGATCAAAAATCAAAGATGCCGTTCTGTACGCCAAACAGTCGAAGATAAGATGGGCCGGACACGAAATGCGTATGAATGATAACCCATGGACGAGAGCCGTTAGTGACTGGATTCCTCGGGCTGTCAAATGCTTTGAAGGAAGACCTCCAACCTGATGGACAGAGTTTTCACAAAGAGCCTGGAAAAAAGATATGATGCTCGACGAATCCCTAAAGCGAGCAGAACCCACTGGGTTACTCTTGCACGCATCAAGGAAAAATGGAAGATTTACTGGCACCCGCTCTAGTCACTCGACAGGCACCGGGACTACAGATGATACAGGTAATACTGTTCGGCAGATGACTCACTTCCAGCGGTGAAAGTGGAGCTTGTGGAGTTGAAAGTTAACATGAATGGTCTTGTTCATAATGATAAACTCAGGCAACCGCTCGCCCCGTTCTATTCTAATTAGTAAGAGCCAATGTGACGTTCTTCATGCTTTTTTTTGCGTCCAGCCTTATCCTTAAAACCTTCAATAGTAACAATAAAGAGTCTGTGATCTTCTTTGTAGAACTCCTCCAATTCTACACTGACCGGTTCAACTTCGTCTTCGCCGCAGCTTGATGTTAGTGCATAGACGAAAAGGCTGTCAAAGCGCTAATATTGATCCATATCTGCCCAACCGTAAACATCATATTTCTGTTGGTAGGGGTGTTTGAATCGGTGTACACGGTTATACCTGTGTTGGCGGTGGTGCCAACCCCACCGACTCTCCTATCGTCGGATGTTCCGTACAAGAGTTGTTCTGCTGTATCATAGACGTCGTTCAAAAGATGGAGTCTTTTGGTCTCGGCCAGCCCGATAACGTTGTACGTTACCCTTCTTGGCTGCATGATCAAGTCCTCCTATCGAGGACTCATATGCAAGCGAGAGCATGCGTTGTGGCTACAGATCCTCATCTTAGCCCTTTGCGATTTAGACAGCATAGAAAGGTTCTGAGATTTTAATAGTCTTTCTGCACTTACCCTTCTCAACGCTTCCGTATCGGGGGCTCTTTCAAGGTCATGAAAACAATGCCCGCTTATTTTACCTTTTTCACTACTTAATACCCAACTACAGCTTACACACCTGAACGTGGGACTGAGTCTACTCACGAGTAGCTTGCCAGTTTCCAAAGTAGATGACGAACATCGTCAGTGGTGGTGGAACTTACCAGCTAAATTGATTCGTTGAATACAACCCGCATAACCGAGGGCACATCCACACACGAATGCATAAATATGTCTTCGTAAACACAGAGAGTGATTCGGTTCTAGGACCAGGCCGTTAGCGCTTCTGTTCTTTACACAGCGTCTTTGACTCCCTTTTCGCCACAGTAAAATTTTCATTCATCTTACTAACCCTTGTGAGCGAAGTCGGTTACCTAAAGACTCAGATAAACAACAAGAAGAGCATTGCTGGACATTAGTGCTATTGAGTATGCAAAACAAACGGATCCGTTGCTCAAAAACATCGTTTTCCTCAAAATACATTAATAACCAATTTCTCCACCTACGCTGCTTCCGAAGAGCTCTTAATAACATGTTACCCTATTCTAATTTCGCATATACTATTGCAAATAGTGGCAGGTAACTTTGGCAAACTACTATCGCCTCCTCGATATTCCCTATCACCAATGGCAATGTCGTCTGGAGTGCTGAAACTATGGTTTGCGGAGTTGCTGGATCATCATGAAAATAGTGTTTTTCCGTTTCCAAGCCACTACTCAATCAGACTGGAACTTCGTTAATTGGAAGCCTTGAATTCTCAACATTCCTATCTACGAAATTCATAGTTAGACCTAGAAAAGAATTTTTTGACCTGGGCGTGTTACGCTCCCCACCCACGTGAGCAACATGCAGGCAGCCAAACTCGTAACAGCACGGTGAGTAGTTTTTTTGGTCCATATTGCGTTCATTTATTTGCTTGATCTTTGTTAAAACTATAGATATTTCACCGAATATAAGGTGGCCGTTACTTAAAATACGTTCAGGCTCTGAGGAAGGCGAAATCGCCGAAACGTCAGCCATCGACTACCAACACAAACAACAGTATAGTAAAACAATTTATAAGCAAGTGCGCGCGGCATTCGAAGAGAATGAAGCAGATGTCGCGCGTGACTTTTTTCACAGGCTTTTCCTACACTTTGACCATTTCTTCTAAACGGCTAAAGGCGACCATTTAGTTTCCGTCATTGGAGAACTCCAAGTAGGCGTTGCTGATGCTCTGCTGCACTCCTACAGGTACTATTTTTCATTTCTTCGGCTTCAGCCATTGTTACTGTTTTCGTTTTCATAAAATTTGTTCTATCGCTTTTCTGTAGTTCATCGAAACCATTGACGTAAAAAAATTAGCGATGGCCTACGACTTAGACTGCTTCGCAATCGCGTATCAGCTCCACAATTTCTAAATGCAGTACACCTTGCTGACTTTGACGCCATTTGCTCTTACAGCTCTATCACGAGGCGATGGATGAACTGGGCGTGTTTCTTATCGACATTGTAAATGACAGCATCTCGTCACTTGAAAAACTTGTTCGGAACTCAATAACAAATGTTTTCGCGGTTTCGTTTCTCGAAAATTGTGTTTTTTCGCAATCTAACTGCCGATCGATCCGATACCGTACCGAACTTTACAGAAACGAATGCATTATTTTCTAAGGTTTTATATTTGGTGCAACATTGTTAACGTTACCATGGTAATTCGCCCTGAGAGATTCGCATATTTAACATCAAGTCACTTTAAGAACTAAGTGCTAGCGCAAGAATCTTGGCTCTCTTGAAGAAGTGAAGCAAGCTCTCGATATGCTAATACCGTTCTTCTCAGTGTGCTTTAATATGAAGCCGTTCATACCTTCTCCTAGTACCAATATCGGTGTCAAAGACAACAATGGTGGTGTTTTGAAAAGAATTACCTAACTCATAGAGATTACCCCGTGGATCTCCCTTACGGAGGGATCTAATGCCGGTTTGCGCGTAGCAAAGTGGCTCATTCTCACTTAGTGGATGGGGGATTAATCGCGGAACTATAGAGGCGTCATACTTTTTTGAGATATAGGAGGAAAGCAGAGGATGGACTTTCTTTTGCTTTCTGCATTGATTTGACACACACCTTCCGTATTTGCAAAGACGTATTTATGCATGGGTGTGTGGGTGTGTTATCGTTTAAGTAGGTTGTATTCTACGAGCAAATTCGAGCAAGAGCCTACAATCAAGTAACAGGGGTGTATATGGGAAGCGGTAAGGGGTCATCACCAACAAATAACCTTCCCCGTCCACTCTGGAAGAGACGGAAAAGCTACCAGTGATGGTTGCTTACTTTTAGAGCTCAGCAAGCCGTTTATGGGTATCAACGCTAGACACAGAATAATAAGCGAGCCTCATTCCACTGATCCCGAAAGCGCAATCGATATGGTAGCGTTCAGTAAGAAAAACACGGAGGGAGTACGAAAACCCTAAAACCATTCTAGGTTGCTTAAATCTGGAAGGATCAGGGTGAAGATCTTTACCTGCAGTGGATTCTTACTAATCTGACAGTATGAAACAGAAGTCTACAGTCATTCGAAGCCATTCTGGAGAAGAAATGTTGTTTGGAACATGCGGCAGTAGAGGGGTATGCAGCGTCAGCGTTCCCATCAACATAAGTCTGGCCATGAACAACGATTTATTTGAACAACTCACACCCCGAATCGGACGTTTACGATTAAAATGATGTGGATCAATTCCGGCATTGACAATCTTCATCGGTGAGTTATGACGCCGACACTGAGTTATGACGAAGACGAATTAGAAGAGTAATTTATGGATTTAGGGAAACTCATGTTCTACACGGAAGACCATACAATCAAGATTGTATCTAGAACAGCGTCTAAAAAACCTAGCATTAGGATCCACGGATTAGAATGAAATCATCAGCGTGATTAGCTGTCGGAGTTTGCCATGATTATGAAGACCATTCATAGTAACTCGCAATTCCTGAAGCCCTACTCTTAATAATGGACGTGGGAGTTTCCTAATGGCGAACAACATAGCGAAACAGATCACATTATAGTAAACCGAGTATACCATCACTTCCACCGTGCAAAAAATTAATTCCTCTCGAAAAAGCTGCTAAATTCAAAAAGCGAAGTGGCAACACTGCAATAAACTGGGATTTATTCAATTCACTTGTTTGCTATTGGAAACACGATGGGTTTGGCATCATTGACGAAGAATACGATCGGATCGTTTAACATCTTTAGGCTAATGCTCTGAAATCTGAAAATTTGAAAGTTATCAAGAGACTTTTACCTCCAGGAGCATGTGAGCTATTTGCCCAGGGCGATGTTGCACGAGCCACAAATAACTGGAAAAGCGTGTTCGAACTTGCAAAACAATGAAGGCAAGCGATAGAGGAATATCTTAAAAGGAGAAGAGCAGCAGTAATGGTCGAAGCTGCAGAGGATGGAAAAAAGCATTCAAAGCCCAGCGATGCTTCGCCAGTTACAAGACCAAAATGACTGCACTCCGATGTCCGGACGGAACAATCACAGCGTCCAGAAAAGAAATGGAGAAAATCATTCACGAATACTACTCAGATCTCTTCGATAGTCACGTCCATCTTCCGTCACATGAATTAACGGAGGTTGGTTATGTTGTATCACCGGTTCTCCTTTCCGAAATCCGTCATGCCATTTCATCGGTGAAAAACCGAACAGCTCCAGGTACAAGCAGCATAAAATCCGAACGCCTGAATAAACTTCCGCCAGTCCTCGTGAGCACACTGGCTCTGCTCTTGACACGTTACCGATCTGAATGCAAGGTTCCTACTTAGTGGAAGACCACTAAAACCGTGCTATTGTTAAAGAAGGGTGACCTCTACAATATGTGCAACTATCACCCAGTCTGCTTGTTGTCTGTCGTCAGCAAACTGTTTACACGAGTGGTCCTAAACAGGATTGGCAGAACACTGGACGAAGGGCAGTCATGTCAGCAAGCAGGATTCGAGAAGGTTTCAGTACTACGAATCATATCCACACGATAACAAGTCTAATTGGAACATTGTGAAAGTACAAGAGCCTGCCTGTCTCATTTCCTATTTAGCAAAAACTTCTGACTCAACCATAACGATGCTGAGATATTCGCAAAAGTTGAACTCCGAACCAGATAACAGTGTGCTTTTGACTACTGCCTCAGCTCAGCTGTTGCGCTCCCCAGATCAATCCCACTGGCAGGTGATTACTGGTGGCATTGTTAGGTAGAAAACTAGCCGAGAGAAACGCAGAGGAAGGGCCTCCATGACGCAGTGTGTAATGCGCGAATCCTCGGAAACAGAAATTGTGATTCGATCTGGAAGGTCTTCGTTTTGCGAATATTTCAACATCCTTGTGGTTGTATCTCACATCATATCCGGCCGTGGAAAACTATAAGAGGTAGAAAATAAAAGGTTAACAATGTGCTTCTAACTCTGTTGAGATAAAAGCAGTTGATGAACCTCTGGACCGTCAGAGTGTCCCTGCACAGTATGTAAATATTCCTCATGAGCTATATAAAAATTGAACAATCAAAATATCACAATGTTATACCTTTTTATTTTTTGCCTACTATAATTTCGCGGCAGGATACTAAGTGAAATACAACCACAACGTTGCTGAGATATTTGCAAAACTCTGGACCACAGGTGTCTATGATGGGAAACGAACGCGCTATTGTCCTTTCCGGGAAGTAACACGTTCATCAAACGCGGGGATCAAAATATCATCATTCTATAACAGCCTTAACATCCACGTAAAAACAACTGCTAGGCGAAGCGACATCATCTCGCCAAAATTATTCATGGCCACCCTCGAGAAGGCCATTCGAACTCTTGGTTGGAACAACACGGGAGTGAAAACCGTTGGCCGACAATTATATCACCTTCGGTTTGCTGATGACATCGCTCTGATAACGTCAAGAAGTAGCCAGGCCGTGAGAATGTTTGCCGACTTTGACGACGCCTTTGCAAGAATTTGTCTTGGGCTGAACCTCACAAAAATTATGCTCACGAAGAGCAGATTGGTTTCGCATGCCCCAGCCATATTTAAAACAACGGATATATCCAGATAAATGAATGCTTCTATCTAGCTTGAAAAATAAAAATGATGAACGACTTAGCTACTTAGCTCGAGAGTTCAGTAGGTGGAAGCGAGCAGCTTGGGGGAGGTGGGGAGGGGCTTTCAAGAGCATCGAGGGTGTATTGACGAGAGCAAAGAACACTCCGTTTTCGAATCGACGATTTTTTTCGTCCTAACTTATGCGTGAGAAACCTGGTCGCTAAATAAGCAGGACGAAAGTCACTCAGCTTTATTGAACGTGCAGTCGAAAGGTCGATGCTAGGAGCACCCTTAATTACGCAAGTGAAGGAAGTGATCCAAAGCTCCGATGTGAGCCGGCGATCAAAAATCAAGAACACTGTTCTATACATTTCATACATACATACATAGTTTTCTTAGGTAACATGTGCGTGTGACGTAATACCAATGAACGACAGCTGATGAACAAGAGCTATTAGTGACTGGATTCCTCAGAATGTAAAACGCACTGCAGGAAGACCACCGACCCGATGGCCAGAATTCTTCACGCAAACCCTGGAATAATGATACAATGCTCAACGAGTTTCTAGAGCAAGCAAAACTAACGGTACCGCTCTTACATGCAGCAGGAAGAAATGGAAGATGTACTGGCGTCCACTCGGATCACTCTACGACCAACAAGACGGCAGGTTATAGAGGTAACAAAGCCTATACAACATGCATTCGTTTTATAATCAGCGCAATATGATGTCAGGAGATAAACAATGATGGTTGGTAGAATTTTTTTGATTCTTCTAACTTTAAGCCCCCGATTTTCCTCATCATTCACTAAAGAGACAACATTACGGTTAAGAAAGTATTGGAACTTCGTAACTACTCTACTGTAGCATTCTGATGGATAGTCTTTTTCTGTTGTCATAAATCACATTTACTGCATTGGTCACGGCGTTTTTTAGCTGTTTAGGAAAGATGAGTTAACTGCTAGTAATGCCTGTTAACACCCACTTCCACATGTATGAGTTATCATCATGTGGAGTTATGAGCCTTGTCATCAAGGGCAGTGGAAATAAAGGCAATAGCATAGATGCCATGTTCCTCATGTTGGACTCACTAAACAGCTCCTGCTAACGATGTCAACAAATAGATGTTTTGCCGGTGGACTTGCCTTTGAATTAAAATTAAATGATATGTCGTTGTAAACCGACTTATGTTTAACGTCGGCATAAACAATCAATGAAGCCTGCTTTATTGACAAGCTAATACGAAGTTGGTAATTATTCGGTTAAAGTCTCAGCGTCTTCGTCTTCCTCAGAGCCGATGATCTGAGCCGATATCATCAGTCGTTCCTTTTCTTGACGTAGTGTTTTTGTCGTCGTACCGAGCAGGACCTTTTTGCTGGAACATCTTTAATGATATCAACTTCTGCAGATTGATTGTCCGGAAAAAAGCAAGTTATTATCATCAGGCAGTTACAAAAATCCTGTATATAAGAGCATCGCCGGGTGAGTACGTTTCATTGGAGAGATGCTCAACTAATGAAGATTCGGCTCAATACGACGACGAAGACACCACATCGAGAAGGCGAAAGACCGTGGACATCGACTCGGCTCTGATAAAGACGAAAACGTTAAGACGGTAGCCGAACAAACATTGGTAACAGCCTCGTGTTGGTTTATCAATGAAACGAGATATATAGGTGATAACATAGCCACTGTCTCCACAATTCATCGAATTATAGATGGCTTCATGAAACGCATGAAAAGCGTTTGTTTCAAGAAGGATTAAAAAACAAGTCATCGATAGGTGGTGAAGAATTTTTGCAGCCAGCGTTAACTAGAGATCAAATAAATTTATTTAGAATAAAGCTTGGCTAAAAACTCATCGATAGGTAGTAAAAAAAAATTTTGCAGCTAGCGTTAACTAGGGATCTACCAAATTCAACTAGATTAAAGCTTAGCTAAAACAGAAGCTTGTGTGCACCGCTATTAGTAAGAGAGCTGGCTTCTACGAAGGCGGCAGTGAGGAAACGAAATGATATACGGTTTGTTTTGACAAGCACGACGTTTGATAGCTGGATTACCATTTATAGATGTAAGATTTATCCTATGTTTCTCTCCGTATTTCGCTTAGCGGTTACTGATCGATTATATTCATTTGTGTCGTCGTATTATCGAGAGTGTAGCGCTGTCAATTTCCGCCAATTCTTTGATCATTAGCAAAAACCGTCAATGAAATTTATCGATAATAGTTTTCTATGAATAATGACTTGTTTTTCATATCAATGTATTTCTACTATGTTGTAAGACAAGTTTGTAAAAATTTCATCTCTAGGCGATCAGATGTGGAGAACTAAACATAATTCCACAAGTTGAAACAACGATAAATATTGTAAATATGAATAAACACAACCGATCCACCACCATTGCTGCGAACTTCCAATCATTCTCTGCTTGCTCGTCCTTTAAAAAGTAGTCCATTGAGTTTGATTTGAAACCAACAAGTATTTTAGAAACATTTTTATATCTCCGCAGAATGTTTTCCCTTTTTCACCGGTGGGCCTTCCTCGAGGTCAACTTTAGTGCAAAGTGGGGGTTCAAACTCCTAGCAACATTACAGAGGGTGAGTCTAGCAATTTGCTTATTATTTCAAAAAAATAAATTGTAATATATAATATGGACGCGCGGGTTGCAGTAGTATAATAACGGCTGGATAGCATTTTTCTGACTGGAGAAGATGTTTAACGTAAAGCTCTGAGAGGGTCCTAGGAGGATCCCAGGTCGTCAGACAACGAAATATCTTACTTATTTGATACTTGAACGGCCCATCACCACTAATTGCGCTGACCCTAGCATAATCACCATTTTGCGGAGATTTGCTAGTTAAGCCATTTTGGTTTCCTGGAACCCCGAGGACAGATTGGTCAAAGTCTGCCCCAGGTCATCACCACTACAGGCAATCGCAGCCCTTGTGGATCAGAAGGGAATTTACCACGATGCGACTTTGATACCAAGATGGTGGTGGATTCTGGTATCGGTTTACTCTTAGCTAGACTTCCTGATTGAAACGCCGAACTCCTCGGCTGAGGAGACCTTGCCGGCGAGACGAATCCCCCCGCTGTGATCGCAGTCGGACGCCCAGGAACACCTCCCAGCCACAATAAGATGGTAAACCGTAGGCAGGAATGAAATTTCACGCAGGAAGTTCACACAAATCGAAAAATTTGCCAGCTTACAATCAGTCTTCGTGGTAGCTTGCACTACGCCGAAGTTTGGGATGAAAGAATGAAGCGTTAAACTGCTTCGTGGTTTCAATGACCCTAATAGACAATAGCCCCTCCACGTTGCCAGGTGTAGACTGCGTTGTAACACCCAAGAACACTCATATTCTATACTGAAGCGGTAAACGATTGTGTTGAGATCGAGTTGAATTTGGGTATCTTTTATAAGAAAAGACATGTCTGTACAAAAAAATCTAGTCCAAGCACGATGAAGTCTTACCCTTTCATCTTCTTCCATTCGCTTTCTCATCACTTTTATTTGACCAGAAATAGTTTTTAGCTCCAGACATGCTTTTTGCATGCATTTGCTCACTTCAAGAAGAGCTCTGGCTAAAAGAAGACCATGAAAGTGAGATTAGAGTCATGCAGTATTCTCTCGATTTTTTGCACAAAGGAAACAACACGTCCAATCAATAATCAGTGTTAGGAAGCTTGTATTTTTGTTTAGAATATCAAAAACAGCTCACGTTGTTCCTTATCGCTTTCGTAGGTAGCCGTTTTATGCGTGGATTGGTTTCCCATCGACATTCTTCCAAAGTTCGCATTCGATAAGCTGCTGACCAAATTTTCACCATGGGAATACCCTTCAATAATAGCACTTTATTACAGACTCAGTTTTGGCCTACTGTGTATAATAGTTTGATTAATACTATTACAGTAAATAAATTACTTTACAAAATCATCAGAATTCGTCTTATGTAAAAGTTGCACTTTAACTGATTTCCATGGGCGACGTTAATTCTACAATGCTTAACTGCTTCCTTTCCATATATAGAACTTATTACTAGAAGAATGGTATCAAAAAAAAACCGACCGAACATTCGAAGAAATTTATTTCTTTAAGAAATTTATTCAAAAAAAAGAAAGTGTATGAGGACCAAAAATCTTCGTAAAACCAGTTTATCGTTCGACCCGTAGTATCCCTTCAGAGTAATTTGGCCATTACGATTGAGAATAGAAAACAAGCCGGGCCTTGTACTATCCGAGAAGGTGAACGATCCGAGTTTCCAAGTTAGCAGCTTTTCTTTACTCTTTTCTACTTTCTGGTTTCCCACTTCGCTTCTTAATTGTTCGTATGCCTATTCTTTCCGTCAATCTTCTAAATCTTTTCACATGTTAGAAAACTAACCACTGCTCAAATTTTCCATTTGAATGTGATGCTCGCTTTTGTCGGTAACTCGAATGCTTCTGATCAGTGTAAGACTGTCGGTAGCTGTAATTACACCCTCCAAAAATCTTCCATTTCGCATTTCAGCCTGTTTTGCAACAACCTCGGCTTTTTTCGCCTGAAGAAGAGATTATAACTTCAAAAAAATGGTGTCTCACTTGAGGTTATTTAAGAGTTCTCGAGTAAAAAATATTCGCACTTTTATTTCCTTGCGGTTGAACACAGTAGTGCCTGGTCGACGCATCATTAGAATCCAAGGAAGCCAAATCAACAAGCAGTCACGTAACTGCAAAAAGTTTTTGTGAATTTTGAAATTTATCAATTCAACACATAGAATTGAGAAATCGTAACTGTGTATCTTTTTTTTATTTATACAAAAGTTAAGGTTGTCATCAATAGTTTCGAAAGTGAAAATGCATTAACTATTGGAGTTCCCATGTCTGGATCTGGTTAAGAAGTGATTAAATCGTAAGTTTAATGCAGCGACAAGTTCTCTCTCCTCACATTTCGCCACTTTTTTGTTTTAATCGCTTTACTGGACCGGTTTTTAGGGTGAAAACTGAGTGACAATCAGTTGTAATACTTCTCAATGGAATCTTCTACGATCTGCTTAATTATTGGCAAGGTTGAAGACTGAGTAAACATTATTACAAAATATACAGCCATTTTTGTTGGGGTGAAATCTTTAATGAACGTAATAAAAGTTAACAAATGCATCCAGGAAGAAAAAAAAACCGACGAATGGGCTCATCTCGTGAGTTTCCGGTTTTCTATTGTGTAGGTTAAGCACAAGTACTGTGAACACAACGGACGCTGATACGACCAACATGCAACACGAAAAGAATGCACCTAAACTGTCATCCTACAAGAAATTGTTTGAATTTGAAAACATAGTGTTTCAAATTTGATAATTCGTAGTTTAAAATTTGCATAAAAATAAGGATTTGCACTATCCTCTTCATTTCCTTTCATATCATTCCTTGAATGTCGTTATTCCCTTGATACGTCATTTAGTTGCTGTTGAACTTTATTTGCACGATATGCTATTTGTCTCTCGTCTCAAATAACGAATCCGTAGCACCAGTCATCCTCACTTAGCGATATTAATTTTTATTCATTAAGTGATTTGGTGCTTTTTCCTTACTAGTTTATTATTCGTTTACATTACATACCCACTTCTGTAATAAGCATTCCAGCACTAAGTGCATTCATATTCCACGTATTTACAGCTTAAAAAGGTCTTCGAGCACTTAGCATGTAGTTTTGGCTGCTACTTATTGATTTGATTTTGTCTTCGTTGTGAATGTTGTAGAATGCCGGTCGAGTCGATCTTCCTTGCAATCTTCGAGGACAGTGGAGCTAAGGTGCTCCTACATGTACTGGAAGAGAGCATTGGGGCGGGGATCGAACGAACACCTTGTTTCCTGATGCACTGCATCTGGTTTTCACCGCTATTTAATTGACCATTTCGCAGCCAAACTACTCAAACTCACGTCAATAAAGATATGACCTGTATCACCCGTGTTACCTGTAGTCCCGTTGATCGTCGAGTGACTCGAGTGGGCGCCAGTGAAGCTTCCACTTTTCCCTGTCGCGTACAAGAGTAGCCCAGTGGGTTCTGCTCTCTCTAGTGATATTGGGTCGGTGGTCTTCCTGCAGTACGTCTGACATCCCGAGGAATCCAATCACCCACGGCTCTTGTCCATCGGTTGTCATTCATACGCATTACGTGTCCGGCCCATCTTATATTCGACTGTTTGGCGTACAGAGCAGTATCCTTGATTATTGATCGTTAGCGCAGGTCGGAGCTTCGGATCCCTTTCGTTACTTGCATGACACGGGATACCCCTAGCATCTTTTTTTCGACTGGGTGTTAAGTAGTTCTGACTAATCTTTCATCCTACTTACGTAGCGACCACGTTTCTGACGGATATGTTCAGGCAGCAAGAGTCGTGGAGTGGAAGAGATGGGCAAGGAGGCTGCTGTTCTTTGTCCTCTTCACTTCAGGTGGTCGCTTTTTCTTGCTCGGCAATAAAGCTAAGACGTTCATCATGTTAATTTCCCGACCTGGACACACGTAACCGAAGCATTCAGAGATCTTCATTCCGTTGAGTGTGAATGAAGTACACGTAACCAATGCGTTCTTCATGAACATCTTTTTTGTGACATTTAGTCAAAGTCGAACCGTTCCACAAGCTTTGTCAAAGTCGGCAAGCGTTCGTTTCTCTTAGCTGTTCAGTGTTATAAGAACTATGTCATCAGCAAAGAGAATATGGTGTAATCGCCGACCGTCGATTTTCACTCCCACGTTTTCCCATTCCAATGTTTACTTGACGTTCTCGACGAGGGTGGCGGAAAATAATTTTGGCCAGGTGAGATCGTCTTGCTTGATCCCTTTTTTTCTCGTCGATGTTAATATCGTTGTAGAATGGTGATATTTTGCTTGTGAAATTTTTGTAAAGCTCACGAAGAATCTTTATTTACTGAGTAGGGAACTTCTGACCATATATGTATATAAATACTTATAAATTGCCAAATCCTTTTTTGAAGCCATGCTTGCTCACATGGCTATCCTTCGTCAAGTGTTATGTCAACCTCGCTTGGTACGACTCGAGTGAAACGTTTATAGACGACAGAGTGCGAGCAGATTAGCCGATAGTAACCGATATCGTACAGGTAACCATTTTTAAAAAAACGCAGCTTTGCTGCTCTTCCACTCACTAGAGACCTCGCATTCAGACAAATATCGTGGAAACAGCCGAGCCAGTGTGTGTATGACGAAGGGCTCCTCAGGTGTGCAGATCTTTTCCTGTCCAGACCTGGCGCTTTCGATTTTTTACGCGAAATTTATTTGGATTTTGGATTTTAAAAAGAAGAGCTGATGGCACAACATTCACATCCTCCTTTACTTCACATTAGGACGGGAGGAAGAGATCTGAGTAGTGTTCCTAAATGACTTTCCCCATTGCTTTTCTGGGCACTGTAACCATTTCAAGTGGACGTCGGAGTACAATCAATTCGGTTTTGTAATTAGCGAAGCCTCGGCGTGTTTTGTGAATGCTTTTCCTGGCCTCTACATTTTCGACTATAACTACTGCTATTCCCTGTTCAAGATCTTCTTTTTACCACTCTTCTCGATTGTTCTTCAAGTTGCGTGAGTTGACGGCTGACCGCAGCTCGCGCAATTCTACTCTGGCGTGTCAGCTCGATGATTCTGGAGTGAAACGCCTTTTGCTCCATTTCGAACTCTTAGCTTTCATAGCGCTAATGTGAAGATGTTGAATGGGCCGAACGTATTTCTCGTCGTTGTTATCGACAACGGCATCTTCCCAACAGCCGACTAATGAATAAATCCCAGTTTACGGTGGTTCTAGGAGTTCGGTTTTGGAATCTAGCGGCTTTTTCTCCTTTCCGCGAGAAATAGAACCTTGCACGAAGGAGACGATGGTCCGATCTCGTGTAGAATTTTGGGGCAACAGCGACATCGTTTAGGCAAAACCTTCTGTTTACTATGATGTGGTCTATTTCATTATGATACTCTCCAGTGGGAGACTTCCACATCCAGCACTGAGAATGAGGCTTCTGCAATTGCGAGTTACCATGAATGGTCTTGGTCTTCATGATAAATTCGGACAGGCGCTCATCCTGCTCATTCCATTCTAATCCGTGGGCCCTGACGAGGCGTTCTTCAGACGTTCTTCTCGGTCCAATCTTGGCGTTGAAATCTCCAATTATGACCTTGAAAAATGTTTTCTCCTTTTTGTAGAACTTTCCCTACTCAATTTAGAACGCTTTGGTTAATTTTTTAACATATTTTGATATCGGTGCGTAAACGGCGAAGACTGCCAATGCCGGTATTGATCCATATCTCTTCAATCGTAATCGTCCAATTCGGGTTGTTACTTGCTCGAATGATTCGATTTTCTTAGCCGAACTTTTGCTGATGAGAGCGTCGTCGCTGTCTAATCTATTTTCACGTGTTTCTAGGAACAGTTGCTCTCCGACGTCATAGGTGGCGTTGAATGCGTTGTGTTTCCTTGCCTCGGCCAGTCCGGCGACATGGTGCCTTACCCTTCGTACCTCGCGATCAAGTCTTCAACAGAGGATTCAGATGCAAGTGTGCGCGCATTGTAGGTACAAATCATCACCTTAGTCTTATGAGGTTTAGGCAGCTGAGAGTGGCTCTGATATTTTAGCAGCCTCTCGGTACTCGTCCTTCCCAACCCAGCGGAATCGGGGGCACTTTCGGGGTCAGGGGAATGTGGTATGTTTATTTTACTGTGCTTGGTTTTCCATACCGACATATAGGTTGCTGTGATCTAAACTTGAGAATTCGGTATATTCACGGATAGCTTCCAACTCTCTCCTATTGTGGACATAAAACTTATTTGTTGGAGGCGTATCCTAACCTCCTACCATATAGTTCCCTGTAAGTTGATTGCAGTCTTTTGGTCGAATTGACTCACAGAATACAATCCGCACAAACTAGAACGCATCCACAAACGCGTGCATGAATACGCCCAGAAAATATAAAAGGATGTGCCAAATCGGCTCAGTAGAAACAGGGAGTCCATCCCCTGGATCCTCAGGGAAACAAAGGTTGCCTTTGGTCCGAGATTAATCCTATATCCTCCACCTGGTAGCGCGCCGCGTTGTCTGGCGACTAACAGGCGAGAGATGCTTCTATGAGGGAGATCCATGGCAATAAATATAAAAGTCTTAATATGCATACCTGAATATGATGCAACTTTCAGTGTTCTATTAGAGCAATCTTATTTAAATAGAAAACGAATCTTGTACCGCAGTTTATTTTCCCAATTTAACTGTATCCAAATTTCAAAATGTTCTTGTATTTAATCTCACCAATTAATGGCACTGCTTCTGATGTGGGTGGAGTCATGTCAGCAACCATACTAAGAAAAAAACACACTGAGAGAAGAATAGTAATCTCTGTAAAATTACATCGAGAATAAAAAACATAAAAGGGTCGAATCGAATTACAATATCTCAACTTTTACTGTAGTGGAAAAATCCGTCTATACAAATAGAGGAACTTTCCTTCACTGTTTGAGTTATTTAATTTTTAAATCTGAAATATTGCAAAGTGTTCATAAATTTCATGCTTTATATATGACACTGAAACCATTATACCTACCCAAAGTAATTTTTTCGCCAGCATCCGGAGGCAGAGTGAATCCAAGAACAGTCATGAGCGATATCAAAAGTGAGGGAATGATCAAATTCAGACCTGAAATATTTTATATTAATTTTCGGCCCAGGTAGAACAGTGCCGTTCTCTCCGACCTACCGTAGTACAGTGTTCTTCTTTGAATGATAAGATAAAAATATATGGAAGGATATGGCTGATCGTCGAAAACGTTCGTTTCGTTGCGTGCGGGTACAGCTGAAATGTTCAAGAGTGCAACTGCTTTATGTTCGATTAATTAACTAGTTCAACCAATTGAGTGCTTTGGATGTAATAAATAAAATTTCTTGGTTGGCGGGCGAAGTATAATTATGTAAAATTATGCCCAAGACCTCTACTTCGAACCCACCCTTGGACAAGCACTCCTTCATTCTTACGGGGCTGGGAAATTGATACAAGACCTGCCTGAGAAAAGCTGTCTTCAATCGACAAATACTAGCAATTGCTTGTCATCAGGACTTAAAGATGACCTTGAACAGCTTTCTCGGGATTTCGTAAAAAACCTACTCAACTAACATTCGACGACATAACGAGAACCAAAGTTTCTCAGCAACAGTGTAACTCAAGCGAAAAGTCGAAAACCTTTGTGGATGACAAATAAAACGTAACGAATAAAGTGAAAGGAGTGCTGTGATTCGCTCAACACGGCTTCCGGCCATTTATGGAACAGAAATAAAATACGTCAAAGTTATTATAGGAGTTAGTTGCAAATTAAAAAGGCGAAGCATATCCTCTACAAAACGAGAGGCCACTTCCTCAAATACTCTGAAGACCTGAGGAGACATCAAAAAGGGAGCGTATATTAAAACGTAGACTGAAGAAGACGTTTCGATGATAGAAAGCAATGAGATGAACAAATGGCGAGGTCTTTTTCGTTAGCTAATAGGACAAGATTTTACAATAGGACTTGGAATTGTGCTTAAGAAAACGCTACATTCAGATAAATGTGCATGGGGAAGCATATTTTAGACAGAGTTTTTATCGTGAAGGCTCTTGCTAATTTGAATATGAAAAACTGCTGCTGACAACTAACGAGAGCCTATTTCTGAATTAAACGGCAATGCGGCTTTTTTGTTCCTTCAAATTAGAAGGTGCTTGGTGAAATCAACTTTAGAAAATTGACTAATTACTTTAATATACGAATGATTCATCCTCATGATTCCCGAAGGATCGTGTGGACTCCTGCTACCACTTCCATTTCACTGGTTATTTCTTACCGTGCAAGATTTTCTTTCCTTAGAAAGTCTCGATAGGGTTTTCCCAAATCGTCACCCCTTTCCAGTAAATGAAATCATTCTTTCCAGAGTACCTTTTCTGGCTTAGCGGTGACTGTATTTCCGAATGAAAGTGTCAACTCTCTTTTAGCTTGGAATGCTCTACTGAGGGACGATTTCCCACTGTACAACACGTCTCGACATCCAGTAATATCTCTCATTGACGATCAGACAGCAAAACGTTGAACAACTATTGTTCCTCTTACTATCACCGCACTTGTAACGAATAAACTCAAAAAATGTCAAAAATAAGCAATCACAACAACAAATTTAAAAAAAGCCTGAGCTATGCTAAAGGTTTCCTTATTATCATTTAAACTGCACTATTCCAAACATTCTGTTTCATACTAATTCGAACACAATTGGTCTTAGACGAAATACTCTTAAATATCTGACTTTCTTCTATAATTTAAATAGCTGCCAGTAGTAGAACTGTGTTTTGTGAATTAAGCTCATTACATAAAACAACACAAATCTACAACAGGCGAAAGCCGAACTGAAATTTCTCATCATCAACCTAACTGCACAGAACCTCATACATCGTAAAATATAACACTATAACAATAATCAGACAAACCCAGTAAATTCCACTCTCCATTCTCAACATAGTATGATATGTCCATGCCCTGCTCGGATATGTTCATTCCCTCGGGCCCATTAATGCGTAAATCAATGAAATTTCCACTATAGGTCCACGAACCAAACTGAAAGTAATCTAATGAGTGGTATGCCGGATGCTTTTATGCTATGGACTTATTTATGAATATACTGCTACGCATCTATAGATATATGTATATATGTGCTTGTCATTAGCGTACTCTCAATGATCGTTGTGTACGCAAACATCGCTTAGCGTTAAGCCAGGCATGGACTTCATCGTCGTCGAAGTCAACGCTAAGAATGCCACGAAATGAAACACACATCAATCACGATTCATAATCATTGAGCCGTGTATAAATTCAAAGCTCGCCGACCACATCCATGCTTATTCGGATCTGCTAACGTAGTACTGACCCCTATGTGAGGTCAGCGATGTGCTGAATCCAAAATTTGCGCTAAAAGTATCGTTGCTGAACGCAATACCCTCCATTTTTATGCATTTTCGTAGTTTAATTCTTATCATTGATGACTGTTTTACAATACCTCTAAACGGATATTTTTAAGTACGCAAAGAATGGCAGTAGATAACTTTACAGAAGTTTGAATAAGGTTCTGTTCTTCAAATAACTTCTAAATTTAGTATACTTTTGGTGTAAACTGATTCATCGTTGTTTCTTTTCTTTTTTCGCTTACATACATCACAAAAGCTGACCGACATGAGAAGTCGTTTTCGACGAGGCTTTGTGAAGGGAAAAAAAGGCTTATATTGGACTCAAATCCCAGCGTGCCTTTTTTTCATGGAGGAATTAACATTGTTTACAAGATAAATAAATGGACGTTATCAAGCCAAGAAAAAACTAGATTGAGATATAGCCGACGACTGGCCTTTTATGCAAAAAAAGTTGCGCGCTATTTTTATTTGTAATTGGCTTCAAATCATCAAAACAAAAAGCTGACAATGTGGAAAGGACTTCTTGACTAAGCAATGGTCCCTTTTCCTGCATAACTACTTTTCAACATCAAGAATTATCCAAGACATAGACGCACTGGAAAAAATATTAAACAGCTGTTGTTAAATTTTCGGTAGTTGGGAAAATATTCCATAATTCACTATCACAGCTTCCAGCTAACCTTTAAATGGCACATTTGATCGTCAAATGGAAAATAGGTGATGTCGATCTTGCACGAGAGTTTGAGTATTCCAGGAGGGACTTGCAGCACGTGGCCAGTATGACTGACCACATAGTTAACGGGATATGTTGAATCGAAATTTTCATCAGCACTAGAAATAAAGGTGATCACATGGCAAGTAACTACAAGGCTTTATTTGAAAAAAACAACTCACCTGTTATACAGAAGCACATCGGGTCTCCATATTGCGTTTGCATTACCTGGTATACGAATATCTTTAATACCACCGTATTCAGATGGATGCCATTTCAGCTTATAATCTGTCCACTGATATTCTATCCATGCGACGAGAGTAATCACTTGATTCTTTTCGTCCTAAAATTCTGCGGGAACAATTTACAAAAGAGAAAAGCAAAAAATTACTTTTTTCTAAAAAGTGGAATCACTTGGAAAACAAGTAGAAAACTCACAACGTCCAAAATTTGTTGTAGATATATTTTAACGCTTACAACTAATGGCTCAGAGGAATTAGCGACAGGACGCTCGTAAGGATCGTAGTTGTGTCGAAGATCAGAGAGTAGACGATACTCATCTGGACTAGCAAGGCTAACGTACAATGACTGGTAGACCATGCATAAGGATATGGTAGAGAATACCAACTTAATTACAACGAATTAATTTTATACTGGGCAAGCACACAATAAATGAACATGAAAAAGTGTGTCTTCTTCTACCAGTTTTGTTGAAAGAGTGAAAAAAGTAAGCATCGATTTGGTAACTTACCATAATGTGTGGAGATTTTCACAAATGATGTCATATGATAAGAAGACAGAAAGTCGTTAGTGTTGTTAACAAAATGTGCACGAAAAACGTGAAATGAGGAAGGTAATAGGAAAGAAAGTGGAGGAGAGTGAGCACGTCGAGGCGAGTGGGACACGCATCCAATCGCGTTGGCCGGCGTTCCTCTCGCGTACATCCCCCGGAGACCAGCTATTTGAGCTTGTTCATCAATAGATTTATTACACCTCTGTTGCTTTTCGTTTGTTGCAAACGGGACTAAACTTCTTCTATTGTTAGAGAAGAAAAAGTGTTGTGTTCACTAATACACAAATAGATTCGGATTATAGTTTTGCGCTTCTGTTGACGTTGAAAATATGAACCAGCTCACAAGGTCATGTAAGTGTCTCAACTCGAAGAGTGTCCCATATTTTCATTCTAGAAAAAACTCGTTAAAACCCGAGCGCTTGCTAGCGCTACTTTTGAAGAAGGATTACGATATATTACAGGAAGATTAATCGAAGTAGTGAAGAGGAAATCTACCGTGAACAGTGTCCGAAAAAATGGCCAAATTCAGGAAAGTAAACCATACTGTTCACAACAACACTGCGCTTGTGTTGCTTTACGTGCTCCACTGTAGTGAATGTGGAGAAACACGTCTATTAGTGAAGTAACTTATTATTATAGAACTAATAACACGATTTGCACTAGAATATCGTACGGTGTCAAAATTACAAAGCAGAACAATAAGATGCTGAAAATAAAAGAACGAAACGGTAAAAATCGAAATAAGTACGCTAAAAGAACGACATTAGGGAACATGCTGAGCTAGCAGGGTCATTGAGCGCTCGAAAACATGCATAATAATGTACAGTGCAATCTTACAACTGGCTGAAAACAAACCTTTAAAATTTTATCATTTTGTGCTGATGAGCAACTTTCTTAGGATTTATACTGATTCAAGTGCACGAATCGTACGAATGCTTGAAATCAAGTAGTGACCATCGTCCGTTCGAAAAACAGAAAAAAGGAAGAAAAGAAAATTGCTTTGTTAAGCGCATAAATTCGAGAACTTTTTTCCAAAACGGCCAGTCTATTTTTTAGTTCATACGCTCTTTTGCTCACTTTAGTTTAAAGTGAGCGCTTCTTAAAACGAAGAAGAAAAACTTAAAGCACTTATATGAAATGCTGAGATATTTGCAAAACTCCGGACCACAGGTGTATGCAGTGGAGAACGAACACGCGCTGTTGTCCTTACCGGGGAGCAGCGCACTTCACCACTACAACATCCGGGTCTCCACTGCATACACCTGTGGTCCGGAGTTTTGCAAATATCTCAGCATTTCATACGAGTTATAATTCGAAACATAACCTGCCATTCAGAAGAAAAAGGCAGTAAATAAAAGAGTTAAGATTAAAGCACTTACTTTATACCGATGCTTGCAAACGCTGCTCGTTAATGTCCAGTATATTGAATAAAGTTCGCGGGAAAGCGTATTGTACGAGAAAAGCAAAACACTGCTTATTTTATAATGAATTAAACGCAATATCTTCGACATTTACGGTACAACATGAGTTGATTTCAACTCATACAATGCGAAGAAACGGCACCTTTCAAATTTAGCCAAGATATCTCAGCTCAATACAAACTCTATTAACCGGGATAAAAAATATTGAAATCTGCAGCCAACGTATTGCAAGATTACCTACCTTAACAACATTGAAACTTGCCTTTATTGACACAAAAAAATCGTATTTCCTCACTTTTTTTTCGTCGAGGCTTGAATCTTGGAATTAAAGGTGGTTGAGAAAATGGTATTTCGTCCATTGTAACACTATATCTCCAAGTGCGTTGTAAATGTTTACGACTCGAGTGAATTTGTGTAGTTTAGGTTTGGTCCTCACTTCCTTTAAAAATTTTAATTTAAAGGAATTTTAAAGTCTCAGTAGCAAATTTGCAGAACCATGCTTATACTTGAAATAGTTCAAAGTCTCTTCTATAAGCGGATTACGTCTCCATCTTTCCAACTGTTCTAGTCATCAGAAATTCTTCTAAGTTTTTGGAAAACTAGTTTCAGACTTTAAGTCTTAATACGAAACGCGAAAAACTTATGCATTGATCCTTCGTAACGTAGCAAATAGTTCATTCATGTGAAAAGAATTCCTGCTATTAGTGCAGCATATAAAAAGTATAACTAACAACGGGTCACAAGAGAAAACAAGCGACTACTTCATTATGGGAAATGTTTCCTATAAAGGACACTCTCCATCCAGTCATAGTAATCTGAGCATTCGGTATTAACCGTAAACTGTTAGAATCCCGTCTCACGTAGTAATTGCTATAAATCTGTCATGGGTAGCGGAGGACTCTCACCAAATCGTGTAGTCTTCTGATCGCACCTTCGTAGGCCATGAAATATTACGAAGATTGCCATTGACTCATTAACTCATTCGTCTTAGCGGCGACCAGTTGTTACGGTCTCATCCAAATCGGCTCTTCATAAACACGCAACGAACTGAAGTCATGGTGCTACTTAGTTGTCGTCGCTAGAGTCGGAATACTTGGTGTGGTACCTGGTAGCCCAATTCTTTGGTGAAAATTTCTGAATAAATGAGCATTCTGTTATCTCTAAAGGTACCACTTCGTTTGCATAGTCGAGGACCAGTTATTCGATTTACTAATGAGCTGTAAATTGTCTCGGAGGTTGAATGCTTCCTTATACATGACGTCTCAATCGAGGTTCCACTTGTAACTTTATAACAAAACTACTTGTTTTTTCAGTACGCGACACGCATTTCTATTAATGGAACGGATTTTCCAATTTTCCATAGTAGACATGCAATAAATTTCCCACCACCCATGGGAAAATTTGTTCTCTTTCAAGCGACATTAACTCATAAAAACGTTGGCCTCTAGCGAATTATCGTAGTGCAAAATAGTTCATACCGCATATGATAAGCTAAAAATCGAACAATAGCTGCGCCCTTAATAACACTAGTGTTGGACTTTTTTTAAAATACGGTTGAAAAATTTTTTTGCAATATTTAAAGTATTCTATACTATTAAATATTTTGTTAAAGTATGAAGTATCCGGGATCGATCACGTGTGCATTGCCGGGGCGCCTCAGACCAATGCGCTACAGGCGCCCTATTTCAGGTGCTGACTAACAGTAACGAAAGTACATTTCAGTGTTTTCTTAAAACATCCGCAAAAAAATAAAGCAACTAAGAATAAGCTAAGCATTGGTGGTGTACTAATCGTTTTAAATAATAAAGCAACGCATATCTCTAAGCCGATAACAACTGTGGTACATTAGCAGATAAAAGTTCAATTTAGAAAAGTTATCGCTCATTGTTTTATTCTAGGTATCAAGCAGTTGATGAATTTCATTCGATTGAAAATGCTCAATCGCTCAAAAATGAATTGCTCAAAGGAATTAGGTTTTGCCGCTGCAAGAAGGTATTTTTTAATAAGCTTGTATATGATCTCTACTAAATTAAACAAACTAGGGAATTTCATATTCCCATGGTTCAAAACATTAAAAAAATAAATGATGACACTAAATGATGGCAACGATCTGCAACATAAAGCTAAAGGATAAAGCTCTCGGCAGGGATCAATCCCTGGAGGAGACGCCATGCATTCTACTACTTTTCTAGCATCGTTGGAGATGACTGAACGCATATCTGGCCTTTACAATGACTCGTGGTGGTTTACCGATGTATCGAGCCGGTGCTACCATCCTCCCAGGTAACTCTGGTACCAATTTGCCGAGCCCGGTGAGATGGAAGGCTTGGCGAGCCACTGGAGCGGGTATCGAGCTCATGTGTGTATTGCAGGACACCTCAGAACACTGCGCCAAACACGCCGATTGTAACATTTGCATAAGCCAGGAATTTGTTTAAAAGCAGAATATTATAGAAAAATATAATAAAAATTTAAACACCACATAATTGCAAACATTTCACCAATGTAACCAGAATAGATCTGTATCAGCTGTCGAATGACTCGAAAGGGAGCAAATAAATCTTCCAATACTTCATGTCGGATGCGAGAGTAGCTCAGTGAATTCTGCTGGCTGTAAGGACTCATTGATCATCATATGTTTTAACCAAAACTTACAGTTGTAACTCTGACTATCTGTTGGCTGGTCTCTCTTCAGCACGTTTGTCATTCCAAGGAATCCAGTCACTAACAGCTCTTGACAATCGGCCATTGTTCACACTCACTACGTGCCCAGCCCACCTAGCTTTCAACATCTTGGCGTATAAAACGACATCTTTCACTTATCTTTGATTTTCGATCGTTTATGTAGATTAGAGCTTCGGATCCCTTTCTCCACCTCCGTGATACGAGATACTCCTAGCATCGTCCTTTCGACAACGCGTTCTATAACGTTAAACGATCTTTCATCCTGGTTACATAGCGACCAAGTTCGTGATGCATACGTTAAGAAAGAAAGAATCGTAAAGTCGAAAAGATGGACACGGGGTGGGGTGTTCTTTGCTTTTTCCACTTCATCCTCGATGTCTTTGGAAGCTCCGTAAACCGTTTGCTTCTTCCTGCTCAACACTGGAGCTAAGTCGTTCATCTTGTTGATTTAGCATCCTAGATAGGTGTAGCAGGAGCATTCTGCGATACTCGCCCCGTTGAGGGTGAATGATGCACGAGAATCCAATCTATTTCTTATGAATATCGTTTCAACGAGATTTACTGATAGACCGATACTTCGACATGCTTACCAACTTTGGCCAGCAATCGTTCAGTCTAGCTATGGGAGGTATCGCATTGCCTTAACCCTTTTTTCATGTTGGCGTAAATGTCATTGCAGAACGGTGACATCTTTGTTGTGA